ATCGAATTTTGTGTCATCTCGTTATCGCGAAATGTTAGTCTTTCTTCCGTTAGCTGTGTCTATCTTTTGTAAATAAAGTCTTTTTTTTTTTAATTCGTTTCTAAATTTTATCCGGAAAGAATATTGATGTGAAATATATGTCAAACATTGGATAAGCATCGATATGAGAGAGAGAGAGAGAGAGAGAGAGAGAGAGAGAGAAATAGTTTACGACTTGTTTCTTTGATATTACGGAATATAATCTCGATATGTTTGAGCATCAGTAGATTGCGTACAATGTAAAAGTTACAATAGAATCTGCGATATCGCTTTAAGTGGAATGAGTCGATCGCAGTCGAGAAACTAACAAACAGAACAAGCTAAATGTCTGTCGGCGAAGCAGCTCCAGCTTTCAAATGTTGCGTTTGGTATTTACAACTTGTTACTTGCAATCATGGGGTCGGAATCGATTGATTAATCGCGCACAACAAATCGCTTCCGACAATGACAAGATAAAACGCAGATGTAGTACACTAGATCTTCCTCTCCATCACGAAGTTTTTTCGAAGAAACTTACGTAAAAAGTACAAGAAAAAGAAGGAAGGGAGAGGAAAGGCGTTCGATTTGAATGCGTCTAATCAAAGTTAAGGCAGAAATAGCGGGGAAAACTATTCCGGCCCCGAATCTCTCCCCTAAGATAGAGCGAAGTGCACTTTACCGAGAATCTGACACTTTTCTCCGCGAATACTTTTCCAAGATCTCAAATTATACCCGATAAGAGGCACTCGCGACTAATGAAAAAATTGCTTCCAGATTGCGAATCGTTGAATCATGACGATTATCGTTTCCGCGATATAATTTTCACCATTCGCGAAGCTGCACTTGGAAATTTCACTGCAGGGAAATCAAAACTTGAAAATGAGACTCTTCTAACGAGTAGATTAAAAATTGTCGTAGTACGTAGTCGCGATATCGTGCATACCACAGTCATCGAGGCAGATTCGATAATCAAAACAATTCGTTCTACATAATCCCTCTTTTTATCGCATAATTAACATCAGATATATCGGCTTTGTTATTGCGTTATCCATACCGCAGCTCTGATCGTTCTACGACGACTCTCAATGGTGACGGCTGTTTGTTATTAATTACCACGAGTAGTCGCGTGTCCCACCATGAAATATTCCAGTCTAGGCGAAAGTGATTCATGACCGGCGGGGGTTCACGATGATATCGTTATATTATTTTACGCGCTCGTAAAGACAGAAATGGAGTGACGGAGGAGAAAACGCAGCCGGAATAGTAGGGAGGATGACGGGGGTAACCAGAAAGCATGGATATTGCAAATTTGCGAGCCGCATTACCGGAGAGAAAGCATTTACTGCTGCGTGAGGAGAAGACGCGAGGGAGGAGGGGGGGGGGGGAGGGAGGGGTTGAGGCACGAAGCGTGATACCATCCACCGATGTCTATTCGGAGGACATAAAGCGTTAACGCGTTAATAAAGGCCGGCAATGCCGAGTCGTTAGCCTTCTCGTGATTGGAAGATACGCGTTGCGTTCAGACGCATCGCAGTTACCTAGGCTGCATGTATTTTTTTTTTTTTACAGGGAAAAGTACCGCTGTTAAAAAAAAAAAATTGAATATTGCACATATTCGTTCTCGTTCTCGCGTTTTACGCAACAAGTATTTGCGTTTTTGCTCCATGTCTGCCTGAGAGGAACGAGTCGAGAGAAAAACAATGCTAATGTTATTTAAATATTCCACACTGAAGGCGTGAAAGAGATGTGTCGCATAAATAAGAAAAATTAAAGAAGATTGATCGTTGAGCGTTGAGAAAACACTATCGGCTTTTTGAGTATCAATATTGCGAAAGTTTGGTTGAATAGGTTTAAACAAAAGCCCATTTGAAAACGGGGGCAACAAACGGGCGCGATGATAAAGACGTTTTACGATCACAGCACGAGCTTGGGAAACAATTTTTCAATGGAAGGCCGACGAAAAAAAAAGGAGAGAAAGAGAGAGAAAGAGAGAGAGAGAGAGAGAAAGAGAGAAAGGCTGACACCCCACCGCGCGGTGCTTTAACGAGAAAAATACCTGCAGTCGTCGAGCAATTTTATTTACAATGGTTAAACCAAATCTTGAAGAATGTAAGCGGCGGACTCGTAAATCGCACCGCGGAATCTATTGTGCTTTGACTTAGAAAAATAAACCCCGTTACATCACCGTCGTGTATTTCAACACACAGACACGCGACTGTATAACTCGGATGGAAAGCAAGGTAACGGCTGTTTTGCATTCTCCATCACGCGCTTCGCGCATTCAGAGCACGATGAAAAAGCATATTTTTCGAATACAATGCGTTAAAAACTACCAATTAGTCAGTCGGTCCTTCGTCTGGCGTTTCCTTGAGAGATGTTAACGGCGAAATATCAGCAGGAAGTTGCGCTTGGAAAACAAGCGAACAAATACAATCACCGCAAAAGACATCGCGTGAAAGCCCCGGGTGAGACGGTAAGTGAATGTAAATACCGGCACAGCTTAAGCCGAGGATGTCCAGGAACGGAATATTGCGGATGGTTGGTGCCGCGAAAGTTCGGTATTCATTTAAATGG